GTGCTCAGGGCAGGAGCTCCCCAGCTCTCTGCAATCAAGTGGAGAAATCCAGAGCCCTTCAAAGACTGGGTCCAGCGCTTGCTCCCCATCCCAGGGCTGCTGCCACACTGGGATCTCAGGGATGTGGGGAAGAAGACCTTCGTCTGAGCTCCAGCTGCCCAAGGAGCCCACCTGGCCCCCCCCAGCACTCCTGCCTCAGCACCAGCAACCACCAGCTGCAAAAACCAGCTGCAAAGCCCAGAGCAGGCAACCAGAGCGGCTGGAGCGGGCAGGGAGGGGGCAGCAGGACCGGGCAGGTTCTGGCCCCAGGGCACTGCACGACTCAGCCCCTCGCTCCCGAGGCAGGCGGGAGACCGTGAGCCCAGCTCTGGCTCCTTGGCTGGGGCTGTGGAACCCCCTGCCCTTGGCTCTGCCCCCTCCTCAATACGTGCAAGATGCTGGCACTGCCCCAGCCCAGGACAAGGTTAGAGCAGGAGGCGTGGGATGCGTTTTCCTTTATCAAGCGAGATCAGCGATTATCAGCCTCTGTGAGCTCCTGCGTGATCTCCCACGGCAATGCAGACCCCAGGCACGTGCTGCTCTTAGTCCCCTTTCACAGACCTTCACAGCCCACAGAGCTCAGCAGCCTGGGTATCGCAAACCAGAAATTACTCCTACATTAAGAGCGGTAGGAGCCGGTTACTCAGCGCTGGCTGTGTGGGAAGAGCTGAGTTCCCAAGGCAGCGGTGCTCCCAGCACGCAGCCCGGCACCGGTACCAGCGCTTGGCAAAGCAAAGGCAGAGGGAGAAATGGGCGGCAGAGGACAGAAGGCACAGAGCTCAGCAGCCTGGGTATCGCAAACCAGAAATTACTCCTACATTAAGAGCGGTAGGAGCCGGTTACTCAGCGCTGGCTGTGTGGGAAGAGCTGAGTTCCCAAGGCAGCGGTGCTCCCAGCACGCAGCCCGGCACCGGTACCAGCGCTTGGCAAAGCAAAGGCAGAGGGAGAAATGGGCGGCAGAGGACAGAAGGCCCCCAGCGACAGGCTGGCAGGACAGGGTGGCACCGCCGCTCTGGCACAGGCAGCTCCTTCGGAACAGGCTTCTCCAGCTAGACCAAACACCGTCTCCAAGACCGAGCTTATGTGCAGCAGCTGGGGCAGAAGAACACAGACAAACCCCTCTCCCTGCTCCCCTCCCGGGGCACCAGAGCCACCGGGAGCCTTAAATCCGAGTTTGTGTCTCTGCCCCACCTCCCAGACCCCAGGGGAACCCAGCACCCCTTCTGCCAGGTTCATCACCACGCCGTTGGAAAAACGCGTCATCTTCAGCTCAGCCTGGCCTTGTCCACTGGGGGTTAACCTGAAAAACTGAAATTTCACAGGCTGAGTCAGAACTTGGTTAATAAGCCGCAGTACAACTGAGTCAGCGGCATCGCTCTTCGCTGCTATTTCCCTGACATCCCCGATAACAAATATCACTCACGCTGGACCGCAGCCAGCACAGCGGGAGCCAAGTCCCTGTCTCCCACCAGCTTATCTAAGCGCCCATCTCTGTAAGGAAGCAAAATACATCTCTCCCCACCCAAGAGGAAAGGGGAAACTCAAAAGGCAATATAAAAACCTGATTTTTATTTTATTTTCTAGGCCATTTCATACCCACTCACAATTACATTTGGACAGCCACAAGGTACCTTTGGAAATTGTACTCAGCATGTAATCCTCCAGCTCTTTGGCACTCATTGACTCTCCAGGTGCAAAAAGCTGCATTTTCTGCTCACACGCTAGAAAGCCAACAGATGACCAGCAGTCACCTCCCGGAGTAGCTGCGCAGCTCCCACTCCCTGGCTGGTTCAGCGCACAATTATCGTCAGCACGGCAAAGCTTGATTTCAGCTCTGCTCACGTCCTCCAAAGCCTTTTCTCACGTTGCTGGGGGCCTGACAGAAGACAGCACCACCCATTGACGTCCCCATTGCCGGTGCGGCCCGGGAGCTCTCAGCCTGCCTCCGCGCGAGAGCGGGGTTCAGCGCGGGGCTGGGAAGGCAGATTTTGGGGAGAAGCACCCATCTCACTGTTCATCACTGCAGGCAGGGAGCTTTCTAACAACACCCTGTGCCAAAGCCTGAAATCAAACCAAACCAGCTGGCCGTGCACAGCATGCACCGAGGGTTGGGGCAGGAGGACAGCGCTGCTTCCATCGCTGCACTGAGTTTTGCTCTCAGATGCTTAGAAACCAGTTTTTGAAAGAACAGGGGAAGCACTCAGCGATGCTGCAGCTACCCCTGTTTTTCTGTTGCGCAGATACCCAGCGAAAGGCTCAGAGAAGACAAAGCTCTGCAGCTTAAGAAACAAGGTCACGTTGGAGTTTACTCTCTGCAAAGGAAAGGTCCCTTCCCCAGAACCCCTTCTCCACCGCAGGACCGTGAGATCTTATCTCTGAAGGCAGCCCAGGGCCCCGGAGTGTGGGATACAACCCCTCCGATCCCAGCCCTGCCACGGAACAGCCTTTCTCAGGGTGTGACAACCTGGAGACGGGCTGCTCAGGCAACAAAACCCCATTAAAAAAAAAAAAAAGCAGTCTAAAGGTAGCAAAGGGGAATTTTTTGTCACAGAAGCAAGTGGCAGCACTTGGATACGCTCCACTAGCGAGTCCTCCGAAGGTTTGCCCTCCTCACCTGCTGCAGGCGGCGGCTCTCGCGTTCCCCTCGGCACAGCTGCCTGCTCGGCGTGGGACGGCGTCGTGACTTCAACAGCCACCAGGACAGGGGAGAGGAAGGGCTGATGCTACTGTCGCCCCGTAAACCAGTAAAGAGTTAATTTAATGAGGAGTCATGAGGTGTACCTGAACAAATAAGAACATCTGTAGTCTATTCAGGAACTGCCAGTGCTGGGGCAGACAGGCTCAGCGCAGACAAGACAGAACAGCAAATAAGAAAAGCATTGAGGAATGCAGTCAGTAAGTCAGAAAATGATAAATTGGTAAATCAAGAGGTGTGTGCCACAGGAGCTGCTCAGCTGCCAAAGACGCGGACCTGTCGCATAATCAGCATCGTCCCGCTCTTTGTGGGAGCGTGCAATTGGGAAACGCGGGACTTATCTGGAAAAACTTCTGCTAACAGGTCACTGGAAAGGATTTCTCTTCCCATTCCTGCCGGACCCTGCAGGACCCCTGCGGCCAGCCGGCCCCATCGCCCGTGGGGCGTGCCTTTGCTCACTTCTTCCATCCGCCGTGCCGGAGGAGCCCAGCTGGCACTTTGGCAGCAGCCAGCATCCCAAAGTCCCCGAGCAGTGGTGACACATGCTGCACTGTCTCCCGGCTCCAGCAATGGTCAGACCCTTCCTGGGGTGACACCAAGCGTTCACCATACAAGCACCAATGGAAACCCGCAACCTGGTGAGAAAAACAACTTTGTCGCTTAATTAAAGCTGTCATTTGAAATTCCCAGCCTCCATTGAGAAGCATTCGGGCTCACCAGCAGAACCAGACAGTCCAGAAGCGGTAAGGGGGCTGTCTCGCTTTCAGGATCCAGTAATTCCTCCCAGGGGCTCACCTGGAACAGCAAACCCCCGAACAGACACCAGCTCCTGCCCAAGGACTGACGCGGACGTCGCAGGTCTTCCCCTCGTGGTGGTGGGCTTTGGAGGGAGCCAGAAGCCTCTTGTGTTAGTGGCTGTGACACCAGCTCCCCCCCGGCAGGTTTCCAATGGCAGAGTCAGAAGAAATATCAGCTCAAGGTCCTTTTTCGTGATAACAAAGGATCTGCAAATCAGCACTGCTTTCAAAAGAAAACCCTCCCGCTGGGCTTCTGCAGAACACCCCAGGAGCACACCGACATCCTCTTCATCGCTCTTCCAAATACAGACACCAGGGAAAAGACTCACCCAGGAAGCAGCCATGGCACAAAGGTCACTTTCTCCTTCTGGAAAGATTTAGTGTTGTCCAGCAATGAGGAACAAAGACTGAATTAAATATATCTGATTATAACCAAAGGCAAAAGTAAAAAAAAAAACCAACCCAAAATTTACAGCCAACCTCTTGTAGCTGCAGGTGTGCCCCCTGAGATTTCTTGCTCCCTGTCTCTGGTCACTGCTTCCATTTACCTGCTCAGCTACCTGAATTTCTGCCAAAACAAGCCAACCAGCACCTGCTTTGTGCATTTTACCCGGAGCAGCAGCTGAAGGTAACCAGAGATGGATGTTCCTACACCCGGAGCACTGAAAAACTGCTTGACCAAAGGCACCAGGATAGCAGAACCTCCCGAGGGGGAAACACGGAGCAGGAAACATCCGGCGGCAAAAGCAGCGTTATGGAGGAGAGGGAAAGTTCCCAGGAAATGGGGCAAATCAGACTTTCGTGGGAAATTCTATCAGAAAACAGAGGGACTAAATCTGAGCAACAAGGACACGTGAAAAGGAAGAAGAGGAAGCAGCAAACTGCGTACGAAGGGAAAAGATCCAAGGAAGTCCCATAATTACCAGCCTGAGGAAGGGAAAACTGTTAAAGTCCAGCACTGGAAGAAAAACACTCGGAGCCAGCGACAGGCACCAGCCCAGACAGGACAGCACAGCTGGACAGCCGGGCTGTGTCTTATCACACAGAAATTGGGAAAAAAAGTGAGTTTTCATGTGAGAGGTGGAGCACTGCCCTAACACCAGAGTGGGGAAGAGCAGGAAGACAGCACGGCTCCCTTGTGGAGGGAATAACCAGAGGAAAAAGGAAAAATGTCAAAGTGAAACACTTCTCCGAGAGAAAGACACTTCTTCCTGAGCATGAACATCAGCTTTAGAAAAGCCCAGTCTCAGGCTATGACTTTGTTAGAATAAAGAAATGGAGTGATAAAGGGAGGAGATTCTACTGGAAAGTCAAATAAACCCACTGACAACCCTCACGAGCTGTACGAGCGTCAGGCCCCCCTCCCCACGGGCACGTCAAGCACCGAGGAGCTGCGCAGGTGACAAGGAAGGTGATTTTCTTTACAAAATCCCGGTGTCTCTTTCCACCCCCACTTTTTCCCGTTCCGGTACGTTATCCCTCCCTGTTCGTTAGCCTGGCTGGCAGGTTTGCTTTATAGTGTATTTAACAGTGAAACGTTCCACCAGCTCACAGGAGGAGAGAGTTTAACCCAGGAGACTGCACGGCCGGTGCTCCCAGCTCGTTCCACGGGCTTTTTTGTCACCTTTGGAGGAAGACAGGACAGTCGTGGCTACTGCTACCCCCTCAGTGCTCCCCTCAGGCACGCTCCAGATACCCCAGCGGCAGGGCAGAGCTGATCCTGGACTGCTTGTTACAAAAACAAAACAAGAGAACCAGAGGAAGAAGGAGTCCCAGCAGCGTCCCGGGGGGCTCCCAGACACAGCAGCACGAGGTGCAGCTCCCTGCAGCCAGCCCAGAGCTGGCAGAGATCCTCAGCTGGAGCCTTCAAGGTGCAGAGCAGCTTCTCTGCAGCACTGCCACCCTCCGGCGCTGGGGAAAATTCACGTTTCTTGGCAGAGGAGCATCTTCCGAGCCCAGAACCCCTCTGAATTTAGCACCTTTCCACCCACTGGCAAGGAGAGAGCAGAGAGGAAACCTGGATGTGAAACTTCCCATCGGTGAGGAGAATCTGTGCGACAAAATCCTTGGGGTCAGCAGCTAGATGCGTTGCTGTCCAGCTGCCAGCCCGCATTTAATTTGGGGGAAGCCACATGGCCAGCTCCTCCAGCCGAGGATGCCCCCACCTCAGTCCTCTGATGCCACCAGCTAACCAAGGCAGGAGCAGGAGATAAATCACTTGTGCTCCTTCTGTCAGATAAACTTTCTTTCTGGGTCTAGGGGCACATCCTGGCCAGCACGCTGGAGGATGTTGTCCCAGGTCCCCACGATGGCACGTGCGGAGAAGATGAGGATCCAGGAACTCCTCGGATGAACAATTCAAATGAGTGACTTCCCGCAGGGCAGCCGTGACTATATTTAGCTCTGAGGGAAATTCCCTTCCTGAATTCTCTCTGCACTGATTCACGCAGATTACTAAGTGATCACAATACACACCATGGAGTGATGCAGGCAGGCAAACCCCAAGTTCACCTGTCAGGAAAAAAAAAAATCTTTAAAAATGCTGCTGAGATTTTTAATCTCATTGAGCTGAAGACAGTGCAGCACTGGGAGGCACGCTCACCCTGCAGACATCCGCATCCACATCATCCGTCACAGATGGTAGCTGTTACTAGAAAGGGTCAAACGCTGCTTTCCTATTTTGCGGGCTTTTAAAGGCAATTTTCAGTATAATTTACAAATTTGCTGTTATGCACATTATATATCCATTTAGTCATGAAAAATGTAAATTAGTTCAGCTCTCCGTTGAGAAACTGTTGTAAAAATGCCCTCGCTAAGGTCTGCTACCTGCTCCCACGGTTCTGTATTAACACCGGCAGCCAGGCGAGCTCCCCACGCTGAACCCGTCCAACCTGCTCTTCTCCTCCGCTCCAAGGTGAGGACCTGGAAGCTTCACAGCGCTGGTGGGGTGGACTCAGGGCGCCGCAGGGCTCCAGCGTGACTGGGCAGGAAGGGGATGGAGTGCTCCAGCCCTGCGATCCAGCCGCTCTCCAAGGGACGCTGCTGGTGCGGCTCCCAGTGAGCGAGCCCAGGTTCTGCTCCGAAGCGCAGGGCGAGGATAGCGAGGGTGCTGTGGGCCGGTGCAAAGTGCTGTGGCACAACGCTAGATGGCAACTCGAAGAAGTGATGCTACACCAGTGCTACCGTGTCTAGGCACAACGAATTCACCCGCAGGGTTCTGTTCAAAGGAAGGAAAGACAGGGAGACCTGAGCACAAAACGCAGAGTGGAACAGGCCAAAGCGGGAGAAATCCAGGTGTTCAGCTATGTGCAGAGGAGAGGAAATAAATCAAAGGTACTACAGCCTTGAGTTTTTCCACCTCAGCTGTTTCCATCATCTCAGTAATTCAGTAATTTTTCATCTCTTAAAACTTGTTTTCCAGTAAGACAAACTCATTTGCCTTTCACTTCAAGCTGTTTCAGCTTCATGCCTTCTTGGAAAGAAAAAGTCATCAGCAGGGTTTCTCAGAGCAAGGCAATAGAGAAAACGAACACTGCTGTCAGCCTGGGCTGCTGGAGAAAGTGCAGGTGGAGCAGGTGGGTACTGCAATGAACACCCCTACGAGTTCTGCTCAGGGAAGGAAAGTCAGGACTTTCTCTGCAGAAAAGCCCAAGAAGAGTGTTAAACCTTGCACCTGCACACACGTCGGAGTTTTTCCCACAGCCAGCACCAGCTCTTGCACACAGAATTCCCCCACGGTGCTTGTACGGTAGTGTAACCATCAGCCCGACAATCACATCACTCATTCTCATACAGCTTATATTTAATGTGCCAAAATAAAGGGAATATTTTGCAGCAGTCCCTGGAGGAGAGGGGAGAGTAAAAAGGTTGATGAGCGTTCAGTTGGCATGGACAGAGACTGCTCCTGGAAGCTCCCTTCCCCCTTACCCTCCTCTCCTCTAAAGAGCGCAGCAACACAATCCACAAAGGTAACCGAGCTCTCGTGGGAGAATTTGTGGCACAATAGGCTGCAGCTCCTTTCAAAACAGATTCATTTATTTATTTTAGAGTCCACTGGTCATCAACACAAAAAAAAAAACCCCATGGGAGATGCAACTAAAGAGAAAAAAAGTCCAACCAAGACCTAAGAACCCAGAGCTACGAGTAGAGGTGAGCCTGTGCTGCACGGCGCAGGCGCACGCACAGGACGAGACGACACGGGCGCGCTGCAGTGTGGCCAGAGGTGGGTTCCTTTATGTTAACCGCTGAACAATGACAGCGTTGAGCAGGTTGGCTTCCTTCAGGGTTTGGTTCTCATCAGTCAGCTCTTTATTTGGGAAGGTGGTCATGAGGACAAAACTGGTGGCAGCCATCGCTGGCCGGGCATCTACTATGAAGAGCCGGATGTCACGGATCCTGTCCAGAGGGATCAAAGACACAAGGGGGATCCAGTTACTGAACAGCCTGTAAAAGCGCACGGCAGCAGCCTAAATTTCAGCCACAACAGTGACAGTGGATTTACTGCACCTGATCACAGAAGGTTTCTGTAACTTTTTTTGCATCATGCTTGATTCTTTTACAGAAACCAGAGGACCGAGTATAAACCAGTGGCCACACTTTGAGATCAGGTAGATAACGAGGACTTCAGAAAGGAAGTCTAACAAAGCAGCAGGGTACAGAGAATCCCAGGATGGTTTGGGTTGAAAGGGACCCTAAAGCCCACCCAGTGCCACCCCCTGCCATGGGCAGGGACACCTCCCACCAGCCCAGGTTGCCCAAAGCCTCATCCAGCCTGGCCTTGAACCCCTCCAGGGATGGGGCATCCACAGCTTCTCTGGGCACCCTGGGCCACTGCCTCACCCCTGCACAGGAAAACATTTCTTCCAATATCTCATCTAAATCTCCCCTCTCTTAGCTTAAGAACCTCTACCCTCTTTTCAGCTTAAAAATATACGCCAGCTTTGCTTGTCCAAGGGAACTGACCTGCTGTAACAGCACCCCGTGGTGCTTTCAGCCCAGGGAACAAACAGCACAGTAGAAAAGTCTGACCTGAGAGTCAGAACAACTGAACCAAGCTCCTAATTATCTGACAGTTTCTGAAACCCTTAGAAAAGACTAAGTTTTTTATAGCTGACATTAAGGGAAGTTCCATGGATAATACCGGAGCTCCCAGGTGCAGTGTCACTGGCTTCAACACATCACTATTTGGAAAGCAAGTCCCGTCCTTCCAACAGTTAACGGCTGCCTTAAAACCCCACAATAATTTTATTCCTCTTCACCTACACAGAAGGATCCCCAGAGCTCCCCTGAGCAGGCTAGCCAGGATTGTAACATCTGCTCCATCTGTGCACAGTTTGCAGCATCATTCGGGGCTTCCCAGCTAGTAACCAGTGTTTCCTGTTCCGTCTGTACCTGTGATTGTGGTTAAACTTCTGGACCAGTCGCCCACCATCAGCAAGCCGGATTTGGATGTTGGTGACAGGCTCCGACTCATCGATGGCGATGGCAGAACTGGCTTTGGCTTCGTTCGCTGCCTGCTGGGCTGGCGAGCTGGTGCCCAGCACCTGGGGCGCAGCGCTGAGAACAGGGAGACACAAGGAGAGCTGTTAAAAACCGAACGACTCGCCTGGCTGCAGGGTGCCAGGAGTCAGGCAGTGAAGAGACACCAGTGCAAGCTAGAAGGGAGAATTTAGGAGTCGGCTGGTCAGCAGGAACTTGTCTAAATCTTCACCATCTCCCTTTGCAGCACCACAGGTCTTCACACCCCCACAGGAACAGGGCCAGTGTAACGTGGAAACACTGCTTCTACGTGACATGCCATGGTGGTTCCAAACTAGGGATCCACCTCCTGCCACAGCAAGGCTGTGCCACCTCACAGCACAAGCCAGCGAGCCTCATTTCCCCTCTTACCGGAACACCTCACATGCCACAGGCACTGAGTGCCTTTTCTTCAGCAAGATGAATCAAAAGGCTTAACCTAGCAAAACTCTCGCCTGACTGTCTCACATCACACACATACCAAACCAGCGCTGCTGTCTTCTCACCTGCCCAGCTTCTGTCCTTCTCCAGTAAAAGCTTTGAAGACACTTTTAGGTTTCACATACTCCTCATCACGGTGATCCTCCATATCCAGGTTCACTTGTCCGCCCCGTGCTAACCTGCGCAGCTCTGCTGGGACTTCCCTGCAAAGAGAGCATCATAAGGCAGCTGCCTGAAGAAGCGAGTCAGGAAAGTGAAGGAGAAAGAATGCCAGACAGACCTCTGGAATTTCAGGAATCGTAGTGAGCTCTTGTTTAATTAACAGGACAAATGCACATCTCCCTGCTAACAGACACAAATTGAAAGCCACTTTTCTCTGGCCCTCACCTGGAGTGACATGATGCATCAGAAATTCTCAGCCCAAACATGAAAGTCTGTTTGTTCACTTCAAACTCTCAGGGCCCCATACAAACCGAGGCCACTTCCCATTTATCTAAAGGAAATGTTCAAGTCTGCCCTCCCACGGTTTCCACACTAAGAATCCAGCTCTTACAAGGAAGCTCAGGCAAGATGTACCATTGATTCAGCGTCTTGGAGTCCACAAATACCCATGTTTCAGAAAACAGCTGTTCTTTCCCTCTCCTCTCAGTACATACCCTCTGCGGATATCATCAAGAAACTGGGCGTTGGACGGATCCTGGTAGCTCCTCAGCTCTCCGCTGTCCAGACTGAATCCACTCTTCCAGAGCTTCAGTACCACGTGCACCTGCAGCAGCCCCCAAACAACAGTCAGCCTCACTTAGCACGAACAAGAACCGGATGCAAAGTGAAACATTCCCAACTCGCAGAGGAATTTCAAGCTGCACAAAACATTCCAGCCCAGTTCCTCAGGGCTGAGGGAAAGCCCCAAAGCAGTGGCTATGTGATGGTCATGCATCAGCTCCTAGAAGGTGGCACCACAGATCCCTTTTTGGTACCTACGGCTGAAGAGCCCAGAGTGTGCTGGGCGAGGAGCCTAAACCCAGCTCCCCCCAAGGCCCAGATGCACATTTGGTGTAACTGAGCATGAGAGAATCCTGCATTGATGCTGTTTGCTCCACATCTCTTCAATGGATAAAGAAGAGTTCATCGCCCAGCGCTCTTTGCACACTATTCACAATCTGCACTTCTAAGGAACGCTCAGATTCTTAATTAAAAGTTCATCAGAAAACCGCTTTACCCAAGACCCCAGCATCTATTATTTTCTGATGAGAAATCCCACGAGAAGCAGGATTTACCACACTTCTGTCCTCATGAATTTCTGTCAAGCTTTACAGCTCTCTGGGCTCACACACTGTGTAGCTACAGCAGAGAAATCCCTTGGGTGACATCTACAAAGCAGAATAGCGAGATACTCACATCCTGAGTAGAGTTCTGTCTCCTCTCTCCTGCCACGTAAGCAGACTCCTCCTCTGGAGTAGCCCCAAGGCGATACCCTCCCCCTGCGAAAGGCTGCAAGAGAGGGGGGCAGGCAAAGAGGTTACAGAGCGACACAACCCCAAGACAGCTCGCTTCCCTTTCCCCAGCGCCGTTACGGAAGAACGGGGGCTTCGCGGCACCAGCAACACCTACTGTCCTGCAGGCGCGGTGACCAGCTTGAACAGGGTAATAAATATGGCACAAAAAAGTGGCTTTTCTGGCCAGTGTGACACACGAATTGGAGCTGCACTAAGAGGAGTCCAGACTTAGCTGTCCTTTTTAAGGTAATTCCAGGACTCCGCGGTACCAAACAGCTCTCACAGTGGGAGCCATGACGGAAATGGGGAACAGAAGGAAGGAGAACTCATCACTCCTCACTTTTGGCTTGCTAGTCTCGCCACCGCTCTTGGCCATCCGATCGACTGCTACTGCACCGTGCTCTTTCGCTCCTTTGAACAGATCCTCCACCAGCTCGTTGGGACTCTTCTTCCTTGGAGGACCAACGATCTGCTGTCCGCTTCTCTCTGAGCCACCGGCATAAAACCTAACAGAAAACACACAGCTTCTGGGTAAGACCAAACTGCTGCTTCTGCGGGAGAAACCTGGGACAGGCCCCAGCAGTTTTACATCAGGATTCAGTTGTTCATTTTTGTACAGCTTCACGAAGCAGCTTGGATCCACAAATGCTACCAGCGCATCTCCTACTGTAGCCACTTACAAGTTCCTGTACTGCAGAGACTTTATTTTTATGTCAGCTACTGTAAAATTATCCAGTGATCAACAGCAATAAAGTGATTACAGCTGAGGTTCTCTCAGCTCTAGCAAGAGCAGCAGTCCCAACTAACAAGGCTCAGTTCCAAATGCTAGCACCAGCTACGTTAGCAAGCTGAACAAGATCTCCAGCAAGTCTCTGCCCTGCCAGATGGAAGAAGATGGGCAACACCTAACAGGAACTTTGAGGGATGGCATATGCACATGGCACATGCACTCGTGCCACATTGAAAGATCACCGTGTGCAGGACGGAGCCAGACTGGAAGCAATGAATGCACAGCCAGTGAAGTGCAATTAAGCACTTTGGGAAGATTGGGTTTATTTGCTTCCAGACAGCTTGTAACACACACGGAGCAAGCTTGCATCTGGCTGCAGAAGACCACGCAGTCCACCTAGACTGAGCCACCTTGAGACACATCAGTTCCGTTTAACTTACCTCACCTGTTGACCTTAAGGGTATTTAACCTCTTACAGCTGACGCTGCAGACAGCTTGCTCACTAGTATGACATGTTTCCATCAGAAAGGAGACCTGCATTTTCCTTCCCACCTCCCCACCCCGTTACATTACCCTTTAGCAGCACTTCAAAACAACCAAAACCCCAAGCAGAAAGAAAACCAATCCCTGCGTTATTCCCACATTTCTGTTCTCTGCAGATGCAAATGACGATCTGGGCTTTTTTCTCTTCTTAACCTAGGGCTTCCACATCCTACCTCAGGCTTTCCCTCATCAGCACAATTCAGCGATGGAAACTGGTGCTTATACGGCCATGCTGAGCACGTGCTGGCACACAGACTGTGCACTGACCAACCTTCCCGTGTCATACCCGAGATTTTTCACTACAGGAATTTCATATTGACTTAAATCTGCTTTTTTTAAAAAAAAAAAAGGTACACAAGTGGCAAGCCAACACAACAGGGAAGGGACACACTTACCGCTGTCCCTCCTCCTCTTCATCATCATCCTCCTGCGCATGAATAAGGTCTCTAAACGATGTTACTCTATGGTCACTGCAAAAGTCAAGCAGAGAAGTATGTCAGCCTCGTGACACATTTCAAGCACATAAGCTCCTGTCCACAGCAATTAGGTTGACTCTGTTCCACTTTAAGGCTCTGATTCATTTCTCTACGAAACATCAGCTCAGCACTGCTGTAACCGAGTGGTGAGAGCTCCTGGACCTCTCTGCCAACTACACCAAGAGAAAATCGGCGTGGGGGCACCGGAGGAGGCTCAGGCGGCAGCTCCGGGCACAGCACAAGCCATGCGTCTTCAGCCACCTTCCTTCCTTCCATACTGGATTTTGTTGCCTCTTCCAAAGAGCCGCCACTACCGAACCAAGCCCAGGTTTCTCTTCCAGGCCCCAGGACAGTCCAGCCCCCACCTCCTTCCCCTCTGCTGAGGCTGTTAGCTGTGATCCAAACTGAAACTAGGCTCTTCTGCAATACGGACTTTATTCCCCAAAACCTGAACCGAGAGCACTTTTCCTTCAAGACACAGTCAGTAACTCCTTGTCTTTAACACTGGATAGTGTTTCCCCACTGCACAGGGATTCGGTAAGGTGAAATTAACTTCTTTTTGTAAAATGCTCCACTTGATCAGATTAGGTCTCACACAAAATTAGAAAACGTTTTTCCTGTGGAGATACAATCTGCTCAAACGAAAGCGTCACCAAGCGTCTTCTAACCTCAACAGACAAATCAAGTTTTTCCTGAGCAATGAGGCAAGTTGTCCCAAATGATCTTTGGATTAGTTGTGCAATAACATCTGTGTTTGCGAAGTGCTGATGCTTTCACAATTTCTAGAGAGCCAAACGAGGTAAAACGGATCTAAACAGGGAGCTATTTCTCCTGAAAATTAACGTACATCAACGCTTTAGACAGAGCTTCTGTTTTTACACAGTTTTCACTGTCAGGCTCACAAGTGTCCGATAAACAGCTGGGTCTGAGCTGAAGCTCTCTCCTCACCTGGCTGCGGTGCCTCTGGATATAGAGCTGGGTGTCGGCTGGGGAAGAGTCAGAATGTCCTCGTCACCCCCGTCCTCATAGAAACTGGCAAGCGCAATCTGGAAAGGAACACCGCAGGAGCTTTTCAGGAGGGGAGCAAACATTCCAGAACAACGGCAAAAATACACACAAATAAGAGCTGAAGCTTCTGTCACGTTGGACTTCTCATGGCACATCAACACTAAGGACATTTCACATTATTTCCCCCTTTGGAGGTCCTAGCAACGATGAGGCTTTGCCAGCTTGCACCGTTTGGCTTTGTTATGGTGGGACCCTCCCCACCACAGCTGTGCCAGAGCAACTCCCCCGACTGGAGGCCCTTATCCTGCAATGCTTCCACAGGGGTTATGATAAAATTACTCTTCTGAAACACCTCCTTTTATGCCATCCATGAGCAGACTCATTGTTGAGCACCCGCAGATTGTTTGAGGGGGACCAGAGGTGGGTCAGTATGCCGGCCAGTCCCCCCCCGAGTTTGGGGGTGCGGGCAGTACCCACAGTGGAGCGCTGACAGCCTCGCAGCCAAGGAAAACCCACACAAACCCCCGAACCCCCCCGGTTCCTCCCCCTGGGTCGGAA